ATGTACGATAGGTTGCCTTCAAGCCCAGACCTCCCTTGAAAAAGAGATTTGCGATCTCAGCGGGACTTGCCTGGTTAAATAAGGGTAAATAAAACAGATAAAAATAAAAAAAAACTTGGTATGTATTACTTGACTTTTATGGGGGGTATGTGCCTGGTAGGAACCAACCAGTTCCTTGTCAGTGGTACTTACATACCAAGTACCCACCTGGTACTTGCAGGGTTCATACTGGGCTGCATTATGCTTTACTARCAACAACTATTTGACTTGGTTCAAACAGCTTCAAAACCACCTTCTCAACACTAAATAAAAAATACATCTAGCTGTTGACTTGGTARGATGCAGAAAGTTGCAGCTAACCTGTCAGGTATTTATCTCTGGAGTTGGTCCAAACCAAAGCAGAAGCTGAGAGTGTGAGAACGAGGGCCTCTGACTTTAACTGTTTGTTCTTGTTTTATCRATCAGGTGGTGATAAGGAGAAGTCCGGTGCTCTACGTGGTCAACCTGCTGATCCCCAGCTCCTTCCTCATGCTCATTGACATCCTGTCCTTCTACCTGCCGCCCCACAGCGTCGACCGTGCCTCCTTCAAGATGACCCTRATCCTGGGCTACACCGTGTTCCTGCTCATCATGAACGACCTGCTGCCCAGCACGGCAAACGGCACTCCCATCATAGGTAGCGTGTGGTTYTTCGTTAGGCCTACAAACTACCACGTTTGGTCAGACACTTTTAATCTGTGTTTTTATTCTAGGGATTTATTTCTCCGTGTGTCTGGCCCTCATGGTCATCAGTCTTCTGGAGACGGTCATCATCACCAACGTCCTTCATCACAGCTCCATGAAGTACCAGGTGGTTCCCAACTGGGTTCAAGTCYTTATCCTCAAACACATCGCCAACCTGATCTGTTACCGCTGGCCTGAAGATGTCCGGCCGCCTGACAAAACACAGGAGGAGAAAGATGAGAGCTCAAACGGCACCGCGGGCCCGCGGGTCATCCAACCCGTCAGCCAGACCCCTGACAGGCATCCGACCGGCAATGGAGGTAATCACGATGAAAACGTCAGTCATTTCAGCCTGTTTTAAAGCAATTCAGGAGAAGTCTTCCTCTGTCAGGTCCAGTTTCTGTGCCGGAGCTGCAGCAGATCTGTCAGTACCTGAGGGACCTCCGGGCCCACCTGGACTCCATGCAGAAGGAGAACGAGCTGCAGGAACAGTGGTGCCACGTGGGCTACATCCTGGACTACCTGCTGTTCCGCATCTACCTGCTGCTGATCACCTGCTACGCCCTGGTCATCATCACCATGTGGTGCATCTGGATCAGCCAGAGCTAACTGGACCGGTGTCTGCGCACAGAAATTAAAAATACATGAAAAAAAAAACTTTTTTAAAGTTAGGTTTAAGCTCCTGGAAAACTGATGTGATTTATTTAGAGATTCTTTTGCAAGACTATAAATAGGTTATGTTTAAAATTTATTTTAATGCATTCTGTAAAAAAACAATAAACTGTCTAATGTTTAATAAAGCCAATGATGTTTACTACTTTACACATAGCTATATTTACATATACAGCTTTCTTAACAGGGAAGATGTTTGACTAAATGTAATCTTGTAATTTTTTATGTTTTATGCTTCAGTTTTGAAATAACGTTACTTTAAGGGGTTGAATAAAAGTAATGAAGGTTTCTACAGGTCAATATTAAATATAACATGCTGAGACTCAATCAACTGTATTTCAAACATTGTACAACTCCAACAAAAAAAAGAAAGAAATTGTGCACTGTGAACAGCACATTGTGATCTCTTGTTGATTCAAAAGTCCCCTCAAAAAAATATTTAAAGAACCGTTAGCAAATAGTTATTAACGGAAATGGCTCATATTACAAAGTCAATATTAGTCGCTGGAGGAGGTTTCGTGTCCTGATGACGTCATGTGACAACAGATCATCATACAGAGAGTCAAACTGTTGACTTTTATTCATCAACATTCAGAAACACTTAAAAGTAGCAATGGTTTCATTGAGGAGGAAAATGGCAGAAATAAAACCTTTTGAGCTCATCATCGTCTGGTTGATGTTTCATGGTAAGAAATAAAACTCTTACTTTTTGTTACACTGTATTAAGAGGCTATTTTTCCAGTGTTGAAAAGAGAAAACAGAAAAATAAAGATGTGAATCTATGTTTTAACCACTTTAAGGGTAAAAGAAAAACAACCCGTCTCATAAATTTGCAGTTTTTCCTGATGTTTTGGTGACAAGAGCTGTWAAATTTGCAATAAATCTATTAATTATGAGCTGATAATCAATATGCTCATGTTTCCAGGTTCAGGTTGTGTAATTATATTTATTTATTCTCTGTTTCTTGTTTTTGTATTCTGAATTCGAAGGCTCTCTGGCAGCTCTGAACTGCAGCAGCCCGACCCCGGACTCATTATTTCAAGAACTTGAGAAAAACCTTTTCTCCAAAAATCTGATSCGTCCTGTCGCCAGTTTCTCCGATTCGTTGAACATAACCCTCAGCTTCATTGTGGTCGGKATTTTAGGAGTGGTGAGTTTAAACAGATTCAGTTTGATTCTATATAAAGTACTCATGAGGTCTTTMTGTTTATCAGACATGTTCGTATGACATGTGGATGTAGCCAAAAAATACTTTTTTTTTTGTAATCGAATATTTAAATCAAGAAGGTGACGTTTGAAAGCTAGAATTGAAACTAAATTTAAATTTCTTTTTGCATGTTTGAAGCCTTTAGCAGCAAAAATATTAGTTTTATTTTAGAAGGACCATCAGCAAACTGATTAAAAAAATACTTTTGATAAAAAGATAAATTTATGTCATGAAAAAAGTTGTTTTGAAGCTTCTAAAGCTGATACCATGCAATTAAAAACAGTCCATTAATTTAATCTTTTATAGCCACGTTAATCTTTARGGTTTTAACATTCATTATTTTATAATAATCAATAAATTCTCTAATTTTCATAATTTGATCGTCTTCTTTGCAGGATGAAAAAGCACAAATCTTGACAACAGTTTTATGGCAGGTTTTGGTAAGTTTTTTAAAGAACACACAACAAGCAACAAAATTTAAACCTAATTTTGTTTTATTTTGTCCAGTGTAACGAATCAGTTCAGGAGATTCATGCGTTTCAAACGGCAGTAACTGTTCGGTGTTCTGRAGGAGTGGAACATAGCCGGACTGAGCTGGGACCAGCAGAACTGTGGAACTAACCGAGTTTCTGTGCCTCGGGACCAGCTGTGGGTTCCAGATGTTCTCATCTCAGAGTTGTAAGTTTAAAGCATCGTCATCATTTTTGCAGCTTTAAGCACCTGAGACACACAGAACGTTTAGAACCATCAACGTTTCGATTATTTTAAAAAAATTAGCAAACTATTTGGCCTTTCTGTGTTTTTAACTCCAGTTTAGACGAGGACAAGTCTCCCAAACCTCCRTACGTCTACTTATACAACACAGGCCATGTTTACGATGATAAACCAGTCCGAGTGGTCAGCTCCTGCCAGTTAGGAATCTACAATTTCCCCTTTGACATCCAAAACTGCTCGCTGACATTTGGATCCTATCTACACTTGGGTGAGGCTAAACATGTAAACGAAACCTGGTTGCTGTTTTTTTTTTTCTTTGTTGTATTCAAACTACACCAGAAAACGACTCAGTTTCACTGAGTTCTACATGTTTTCTGTTGTTAAAAACTTCAACTCAATGAGCCACATTGTGAAAACTAAAAATGTCTGAAGCCGCGGACATTAGGATGTTTCCCGGAAGCACGAGTGAAGAGATCCTGCAGCAGTCCAAGAATGTGATGGACTCTGATGGGGAGTGGGAGCTGGCAGACATCAGTATGACTCATTCCACGCTGGAGTTYGAGGAGGGAAAATACTCTGAGATCAAATACTTTGTAAGTCTGATCGCTTTGGTTTTCACTGAGCTGATGATAATGCGTAGACGCCAAACCTTAGAGATAAAACAAACCTTCTGAGATTAAATTTTCATTTCCTTCCCGTTTGCCTCCTTTAGTTGATCCTGCGCCGCCGACCAACCCTGTATGTGGTGAACCTCCTGCTSCCCAGCTGCTTCCTCATCACRGTGGACCTCTTCAGCTTCCTGCTGCCTCCACAGAGRGTCGACCGGTCCTCCTTCAAGATGACCCTCATCCTGGGCTACACCGTCTTCCTGCTCATCATGAACGACCTGCTGCCGGTCACCGGGCAGACCACGCCTCTCATCAGTGAGTGACACCCCCAAGATTTAGTGTCTGAGTCTGTGTTTCTGTAGAAGGCCAAATGCGAGAAGGTGGATAAAAGAAACAAGGAAACAAAACTAAAAGACTTTTAAAGGGGGGGGGGGGGTGTTATGTAAAAAAGATGTTTTAAACTTATGTTATAATGTCATTCCCTCATTGAAAACATACCCAGAGTGTTGCTTTGACTCGTTCATGCATGCTTGAGAAATTCATGAACCTCCTGTGGTCGCCATGTGGAGCTGCCTAAACGATTGCTGCTACAAAGCTCCGCCTACTTACTCAAAGATCCTCCCTGGAGTTCAGTCCCCAGCCCAGCTCCCGCCCCCACCCTTTCCCGAAGCAATGTTGTGACGACGTGCTGAAGTGGGAGTGTCGGAAACGGTAGGAAGTTCTTAAAGAAATGGAGGCCAATTTCAAGACACTTTAAACAAAGAAGCACAGGAAGAGACGACATAAAGGAGATGCAAACCAAAGATGCAAAATCGATGAGCTGAGACGAGCAAAGACGCAAACTAACAAACGCTGGAAACATTAAAGATGAAAAAAAAGGTGGGGGCGTTGCTTTCACAGTCGAGTCAAACAACCCTCAAACTGAACATTCTGCCCTCTGCTCTCTGAAAACATGCGTGTGAGGTTTCTTGTTTTGGTCACGCTCCACTTCATGTGTGAATGCCACACCTCCAAAAGCACGATCGRTCTGCCAAGTGTGTGATTCCTGCGCATAGAGATGAGCAGCAGGTTTATCCAGTTGCAATGTCAACATTCTCTGATTAAGATCGGAACTTATGGAACACGAGATTGACAGCATACAAAAAAACAGCAAAATATGCCACGTTTCWTTGCATTTTGGTTGAAGTAGTTTTGATGTTCCCTGCAGATGTCTTCTTCTCCATCAGTCTCGCCCTGATGGTCGCCAGCCTTTTGGAGACAGTTTTCATCACCAACATCCAGTTCAGCTCGGGTCAGTACAGCGCCGTGCCTCAGTGGCTCAGTGTCCTGGTGCTGCGTTACCTGGCCGTGGTCGTTTGTGTCCCGCCTAGGAAGAAGAGCAACAGAGTGACGGTCTTCCTCAATCCATCTCCTGAAGGTAGAGAGACTCACAGTTCCTCAGTCACAAGTTTATTGTTGTTATATTGTATAAAACAATATATTTTTGTTATAGACTCAYCAATAAATACCACCTCCACAACCACCTCAGGGGGTCAGACCGGTCTGAGTGATGCACTTCCAGTGAGGACCCCGCTCCCCTCTGAGCCGGCCCTGGACGAGCTGCAGAAACTGAGCAGAGACCTCACGGCTGTCCGTCTTCAGGTGGACAAATACTTCCAGAGCTCCAAAACCTCAGAGGAATGGAAGATGATCGGGATGGTGATCGACCGCTTGCTGTTCGGTTTGTATATCCTCTTCATCCTGGTGAGCTTCATCACCATCATGGGGATCTGGCTCTGGAACAACACTTACGCCGCATGATTTATTCTTTAAAACTTGACTAAAACCTTTCTATGTGCTTACGTTTTTTTAATGCAGAGCTGATAAGCTACAGCTATCATCTCCATTGAAATCTGGTCACATTGTTTTATTTTTACTAAAACAGCTAAATTCAAGTTATAAAATAATGCTGTCACATTGTTGCCACTAGATGGTGCAATTGTACAAATAATGTGTAATTTCTCAAATGATGTTACTTTTAGGGAAGTTTAATTTCCTGTACAAAGAAAAAAAGTGTTTTATTTAAATTTTATGTATTCCGTCTTTTTTTATTTATTTATCTACAACAGAATATTAGGACCACATCACAAGATTTTTATTTTTTGAAATTACAAGAATAAAGTCATAATATCATGAGAACAACACCATTATTTTATAACTATAATAAGAAAAAGCAGTTTTACCACTGTATTAAAATGTGGAACGTTGAGCAACTTGTCAACTTATAAATTAAAATAAATACTTAATCATTTGGTTACACTTTCTTTTATGGTACCCTTATTACCATGTAATTACAAGCTAATAAAAAATGTGATTAAATGCAATTACTGCCTTATTACCATGTAATTGCAAGGTAATAAAATGTAATTAAATGCAATTACTACCTTATTACCATGTAATTTCAAAGTAATAAAATGTAATTAAATGCAATTACTACCTTATTACCATGTAATTAAAAAGCAATAAAAATGTAATTAAATGCAATTACTACCTTATTACCACGTAATTACATGGTAATTAGGGTACAATTTTACTATGTAATTGTCTGCAGTAATGTAGCACTTACCTGGTAATGTATTACAATTCATTATGTAACACCTAAATAAGTAGTAGTTAATTTGGACAGTTTTAAAGTTATATTTTATTGCAATTAACCACTAACTCCAAAATTTAGTTGCATTCTTTTGGTTATAAATATGTTGAGTTACTATTGAATAGTAATTTGATTGTAGTTACCCAATAAATGTAGTTTTACTAACAGTAGTTTTTGTACCCTCATTACCACGTAATTACATGGTAATAAGGTAGTAATTGCATTTAATTACTAGTTGGTAATAAGGGTACCGTAAAAGAAAGCGTTACCAATCTTTGAAAACATCAGCATCAAATTATCAGTAGCAGGACTTTGAAATGATTGTGCAAACAACTGTATGGACTCATAATTTACAGAAGTTGTATTGCAATTAATGGTTGCGTTGATGAATTTCACATAATGTGGATGCAAGCATATTACTCCATCGCAATTATCTGATGAGTCAAATAATAAATATTTAAAGCACATAAAAAATACTCAAATATTTAACAGTCTTGCCAGTCATTTATTGTTAACATAATTACAATTTCAAAGCAAATCAAGATATATTATAAGACTAATTAACATTTTTAATAATAAACATTCTGTAGTGCACTTTAAACTTCATCACCCTCCAAAARAAAGGCGGTCCAAAAACAAACAGGCTGAGGAGGTTTTTCAGGACGGGGATTGGGTGGTCTTTTTAGGAGCTGAAGAGGGCCGTCGTTTCTTTCTTGCAAGAATTCAAAAACATCAGTATTCATCCCAGAACAGTTCGTCTCCATGTAAAGCAGTAATTATTAAACAATTAGAATGAAAGGGAGCTAAAGTTAGAAATAAATGAGTGCTTCACCCAGTTTAGTCTTTTTTTTAGTACAAGAAAGCTGATTAAACATTTCTTTTAAAACCTCAAAAACACCCAAAACAACAATAAACTCATCATAAGTGACAAATGAGCTGCAGCAGGTAAACTTTTATCTGAACTGGTCCAGTAGTAACCACAAGAAATAAGTCTAAACGTGAACAGAGGGCTGAGAGTGCAAGAAACAGAAAGCTTGTTTTCCCCCAGACAAACAAAACCTCCCTATAAACCCTACAGAGAGGTGATGACAGTGTTTAAAACGTCACGTAGGCATCAGCAGAACGTCTGATAGGTGAATGAGCGAATCTGCRAAGGGAGACGTACAGATTTTTAAAAGTGATGAATAATGGACGGAGCCGCTCTCGGTGTTGCATAAACCAGATGACAGGAACATCTTTTARGGTTCAGGGTGAAAAGGTCAAAGTCCCATGTTCTTAAAACGAACATTTAAAAGGATGGCGCCGGAGCTCCGCCCACAACACAAACAAGACACACAGATCAGTGCAATTAACCAAAAAAAATCTGCTATTTCCAAACTCAGAAATCAGCTTCGAGCTGCGAGAACAGCAGGTTCACCTCAAAACACACACACACTCCACGTCCATAAGCACACACACAAACTAAGCAGCACAAACAGGAGCGTTTGCAGTTTCATTGCAACACCGATTCTGAAGACTCTTTTTGGAATCCAGTCCTGCAAACTCAAAACTTTCCTCCCGACACGGTTTCACCATTTGTTCGTTGGTCACAAACGGGTTTAAAATAGCTTAAAAGGAAACYTAAGTAGCAAAACAAGAAGAAAGGAGAAGTCCAGGGTAAATGTTCAAATTAAAACAAACGTGGCAGGATTACTCAAACACGGCATCGGTCAAACTCTTAAAAAAAAAAAAACATCCTTTAGCTTTCAGTGTCGTTCTTTAAAACAAATACTCTCCTGCCATCTTAGGTCGAGAGAACCATCTCCAACTGAACCCTAAAATCATTCACGCTTTCTGCTGACACGACAAACAAGTTCGCTTTTCCCGCAAGCGTCCCGACACACAAGTGCCGACAAGCTCCGGAAGTCTTTGGCTCTTGTTAAGCTGCACAAAAAGAAGTGTGGCGTCAAAAACGTGTGCAATGTTGGATCATTTGCATGTTCTCAAACAGAGCAGGCTGTTAGGGAAAGGAATGACGCAGCCCTGCTGAAGGACGTTAAGAAAAAAAACATTGCAGGTTTTAAACCTCATCTTAAGAGCAATTACCTTTTTTTAAGCTTCTGCGCCAAAAAAAACTACAATAAATGATCAGAACATGTTAGTGCATTCATTTTTATATAAAAATACAGTTATATTATAGAAAATTTCTTAACTAAGGAGGTAATTAAACAGTTTTTTTTTGTCTGTAATAGTCACTCATTTGCTAATTCAGGCAGGATGCTTTAATAATCTAAAGTGCATGTATTAAAAGGGGCTTTAAGAAAAGGATCTTTCAGCTCAGAAAAAAAAAAGGGACGTAGTCCAAGATCTACTCCTGGAAAGCTGGTTTGCCGTGGACACGATCACCCACACTGGAGAAGGRCCGGACCGGGGAAGTACAATCATCGTCGCGTTTTGCTCCTTTTACTCCTGAGGGTTGCCGCGTTCCCGACGGCGCTAGGCCCCGCCTCCCTCGTCCTCCTGCTCCTCCACGTTTCTGCGCGCCATCCTCTCCCTGCGCTCCGCCAGCCGCCGGCATCGAGGACAGTCCTTCCCCGTGCGGAAGCAGCTGCGATGGTAACACGCGTGGCACTCTGAGGAAGAGAACAGAGGAAACGTTAGTCCGTCAGGAGCACCAGCGGTCCCGTTTGCGAGCGTTCGAGCGCACGGTTGGAGCAGGCGTGTCGCTCCAGCAGAGCAGCCAATCACACGGAGACCTGGGGCAGGGCGGGCGAGGAGGAGTATAAAAGGCACAGAGGGAGGAGACGCAGGTGGAGGAGAGCCGATCGTGTTCTGAGGCTCAACGAACCTAAACCTGTACAGACCTGCCCTGTTTACTCATAACACACTGACAAGAGCTTCAGCCWCTGCTCCGTTTCATTTAAAATACACCTTTCAGCTAATTCATTAACAAATGATGAGGGTGGACGGATGAAATGAAAGGCGGTGTCAATTTATAAAAAAATAAAACGTTTATTTCATGTTTGAATGAAGATGAAGCCTACATTAGACATAAATTACAATCATAATGACATTCCTCCTTCAACAACCACAACAAATTTACAAAAAACAAAAAATAAAATTAAATACAGACCAATGAGACAAAAGCACAAAAACTACTTGTTGAATTCYGGCAGAAGAGAAAAAAAAACTAAAACTAAAATGAAATTCTCAACCAGAGCAAATGTTAAAATTGGTAAACATTTAAGGGTGATTTGGTCTTCACTGACATCATCTAGCAGCCGTTTTTATCTGGAGACAGCCGGCAGCAACCAAGACAAAAGCTGCAGAGACTAAAAAATAAATAAAAAGGAGCAATAAAGTCGCAACACCGTAAGGAAAAAACCCAAGAGATCGACCAGAGAGCACCAAAACATCTAACCACCACCAGCTGTGCAACGTGTCCAAACCAACACCGAGGGTCTGCCGGGAACTCAAAACACAACGAAAGAAAACCATGAAAGCTTCACACCACAAACTGACTGAAAATAACTACCACCAAAGCTTTTCTGTTGTTTCTCTTCTATTTCAAACAGCTTTAAGTTCCAGTTTTAGCATTATTCTTGTGCCGAATGAATTTAAAAAATAAAAAAAACCTTGATGAGAAAGTTTTAAATAGCAGGAAGGTTAAATCTTAAAGACTCTGTCACACTATAACGTTTTAGACAACTTAGAAGTTTTGTGTCTAAATTACTAAGAAAGGTTACATATTTAATCAGTTTGTTAGAATTACAGTATGTGGACACCTAAAAGTGGTCATTCAGTTGATTTTTTTTTTTTAATTCCATTTTCAACATAGTTGTCTAAAGCTTTCTTGTTGTCTAAAACGTTGTAGTGTGACAGGGTCTTAAGCAGAGAATATCCATTTCCCAGTTTGTGTTCAGCAAACCAACGGCAGGCAGCGGCCGTGCAACTATTTCAAAATAAAAGTAAAAAAACTGCAGTTTTCAATGTTGCAGATATATAGGTATAAAACATTATGAAATACAGTTGAAAGTTACGGAGTACTTGTAAATGTTAAGACAACAAACATCAGTGAAATTTGCTAAAAAGAGTGAAGAGCTAAATTTAAGGGAAGGTTTTGTTTTGTACTTTAACACAGCAGATAACAGACGTGTATTTCCTGAGTTCTGATGTGTTTGATCTGTAAAGCTTCATTCTCTACTTCTCCTCCTCTTCATCTTTCTCTTCGTCTTGCCCTCTTCTCTCCCTCATCTTCCTGCCTCTGCTGACCCTCCTGGCTTTGCGGATTTTACTGTTCCTCCACTTGGGTTGGGCTGCACCCTCTGGATCCACTCGTCCCTCCTCACCTTCCATGTCGTCGCCGTGCTCCTCCTTCTCTCCCCTGCTTCTCTCTTCGGACCAAGCGGCCACCTGCTGACGGGGTTTTAGTGATTTTTTCACGGCCGTCAACGTTTCAGGCTTGGACGTTTCCCTTTCTGCCTCTGCTTTCTGCTCCTCCTCTCGTCCCTCTCCTTTCTCCGACGACCTTTTTATAAACTCTTCATTCCCAGCTTCCTCTTTCGCTTCAGCTTCCCCTCCATCCTCATTTCCTAGTTTTGAGAAACATTCGACTCGACCCGTCCTGCGTCCCTTCCCCTCCTGTCCTGCTTTGTCCAAACTCTCGTGGCTGCTGCATGTTTCAGTTTCACTACTCCGGTCTTGTTTTGATATGTTTTTCTTTAATCTGCCTATTTTCAGAATCTTTAATAAATCCCTTTTTGCGGGCCTATCTGTAGTTTCTCTGTGGTTATTCTCTTTTTTGTGCACACCCRCTCCCCCCTCTTTTTCTTGCATCTTTTCCTCCCCCTCGGATGAGCTCCCTGCCTTCCCCTGTTTATACTCATTAACTATAATCTGAGGAAATGCATTAATAGTTTCCCCCCTCAGATTATCTGAGTCCCTCAACTCTTGCYTTTCATCCTCCTGATCTGATGTGAGCTGCACGTCCTCCTCCCCACCCTCTCCTTCCCTCCTGTCCCTCTGGAGCACCTTGGCCAGCCTACGAGGGTGGGAGATCTTCCAGTCTCTCCAGTTAAGCGGAAAGGAAAGGCGGGAGGAGGGGGCTCTTGTCGAGGGCTCACCTTCGCAGCGRTGGCACTTGCTCAGCTGGAAGGGGAAGATGATGTCTTTGTCGTTGCCGCAGAACTCGCACACAAAGCCCTTCGCCTGGCACAGCTGAGAGGAAACGGAAATCGAAAAACAAAGAAAAAAAGTCAGAGAGCTTTTCAAGAACGGAGCCCACTCTATGGTGTTTGTTTTTTTTTTTTAGGGGAAACAAAGCTGCTGCAGATGAGCTGAAAAGAACAATCTTACCACACATTTAGCGACGTGCACGGTGCCCAGCTTGAGCAGCTCTTTCATTCGGGTGGCCAGTTCTCCGTTGCGGACCGCCGTGAGGTCGTTGAGAGAGAAGAGCTGGAGGTCCTCGGTCAGGTGGCCCGGCAGGCTGTCGAACTGGTCGAGAACCCTGAAGGATGAAAAATACAAACTAGTGAGTGCCCGAGTCACAAGAGCATTGGGCCTCATGCAAGAACCGTTCGTACGAACAGATTTGTTCTTAAGTTGTGCGTATGAGTGATTTAGGAGAATTTGTGGCTTCACCGATGTTTTCTTATTCTACGATTTTTTTCAGATACGAACAAAATTCAGGAGTGGTCCAGACCTGTCGTATATTTTACGTACAGTCAGTCTGCTGTTATCCAGACGGGTTTTCTTCACTAATAACTTTATATNTTATCCAGACGGGTTTTCTTCACTAATAACTTTATATTTCGTTAGTTTGAAGATATTTTGAGTTGAAAATAAATCACACTCCATAATTATGTTGACAACAGTTTATTCTGTTGAATTAGAGTTATAATTTTAAATGTAATAATTTAGACTAACAATATAAATTGGTTAGATTGAAATAAATTGGATATTAATTTTTGTTGTATAGAACTACAATATTAATATGAAGTTAAATGAAGTTTTGAGAGATTTTAAAATGCTTTTTTTCAGAAACGCCTCTGACACTTGCGACGGTCAGGGGGTGGGGGGTTTACGGTGCGCAACTGCTCCTCTGAATAAGTGAAAACTAAGTAACACAGTTGTTTACACTGAAAATAAATATTTCACCAAAGAAAAACCGGAGCTGAACTACAGAGAGATGAATATGATTTAGATTTTTATTTCTGTGACTGTACGACCGACGGGAGACACGACGTTAACAGCAGTCGTCATTTCATTCCTCGGCTTTAAAGCAGATCCTTTAATTCCACAGCTGACGCTGCTAAAAATTACTTTTTATTTATTTWTTTTTTTTGGTGTCTCTCTGAGAGCAGAACTTCAATCTCCGAATCGTAAAGTTCTTCTTTTTTACTTTGCGATGTCATTTATGAATGGACACTTCCTGCTATGTGTAGCAGGAAGTGTATATCCTTATATGGTGCTTTTGGGGTGGTAATTATGTAAATCACCTCTCCCCATGCACCAGCAGCTGATACACATTCATCAGTTTACGCAGCTCATTTACACACTTTTCCTGAAGATAGAAGAGTTTGTTGAATCTGACGTGAGTATTCTTCGTACAAACAAAAGTAAGAGAAATTTAGGATAAGAATACAAACATGTTCTTGCATGAGGCCCAATGTGTTATAAACAAAGACAAAATAAGAGCTTACTCTTTCGAGAAACGGCAGGTCTTGAAGAGATTTTTCATGTGGAACAGCTGCACCCTTAAAACCTGAACGACAAAATAAAAACCTCAGCCTTATTGGAACATCAGTGAAAAAAGAGAAAACACTTGTGAAAAGAAGCTCCGAGTTATGAATCAGTAGAAATGCGAGGACTGTTTTTGGACAAAAAAGGTTTAAATTCAGCATTTCTGCCCACTGACTAAGGCAGGCAGCAAAATTACCCTTGAATTTCAAAATAAAGTAGATTATTTAACAGAAACTTTTTTAATGGACTTAAGATGAATATGAAAAAAATAAAATTAGACTTCTGAATAAAATGTCAAATATATATTTATGTTTTTTTTTTTGAATTGTTTTTTGTTTTTTAATACTGAGAATTAGTGGGAAAAGCTGAAAAATATTAGATGAACGTCTATTCATTTAAAAAACTTTTTTRTCCCAACTCAGACAGCAACGAGTCACAGGTTTGTTTTTTTCTGAGGGTGGAGTACTGCACTGCAGGCGATTCATCATCAACTCCAAACCCATCAGTGTGAACAGCCACCTCTGATACAAGCTGCAACGTTCTCCTCGTTAAACAAACAAACAAACAGAAACGTGTTGACCCCTGTGTGCCGCTGCAGCCTCTGAACTCACCCTGACCGACTCCAGGGCCTTGATCTTCTTGTACAAGCAGCTGTTGATGTCGCTGGGGTTGAAAAGAGGATCTCCGGCGATCTTGCTCAACAGGTCCCGGGCAAAGTTGCTGACGTAATACTTGCCGAAGTCCCACTTTCTGAGCACTCGGCCGGGAACAACCGCCTGGGCGTTTTCATGGCAACACTGGCAGAAGTAACGGCCGAGGTATTCACAGTAACGCAGTCGCTTGATGTAGTCTGAGGAAAAAGCAGAAACGTAGAGGAAAACATAAACCCTTTTTAAAAAGAAATCTACATCTTAAACATGAAATTTAAACCCAGTGGATGAAACTGTGACTAAGTGAAGCTGAAAGTATTTTCACGCTCAAGTCTCTTACAGCTGCGAAATCTAATTATAAATATCAAAAAGAAGAACCAAAACTGTACAAACTCTCTTAGTGTTAAAACACTGGTTTAAAAAAAAATGCAGTCATGTTCAAATGTTCGCTGCAGATTTCAAGATCTGTTCTTCCGTTGGTTCTTGGAGATACCTGGGTCGATGCGGGTGCCACACCCAGCGCAGCGGTAGTTCTGCTTAGCCACAATTACCTTCCTCCTGAAAGGAAAACCAACATYCACGTAAGGTTTTAGAACATAAAAAGTTAAAACAGTGTTTCTAAGTTGGTTAAAACAAACGTGACTTTATGTGAGCTGGAAAAAAAATCGTCTCCAAGAATATTTTCCTAAAATGTGTTGATCAAAAAGCAAAAAAAAATAATTTTTTTTTTCTTGTCATTTGCAGCTTTTTAAAGGGATCCCTGATTAGTTGCAACATTAGACTTTATTTAATAAACATATATTTTAACTGTAAAATAAAGACTGTAAAAATACTGTAGGATGTTCAGTTTTTATCATTTTTAAACTAAAAGTTTAAAAATATATTACACGGACGGGGCCATTTTATTTACACGCAAAGCATTCTGGGTAAATGATGACGTGGATAGGTCCTCGGTGTGAGCGAGCTATATCCACCCTGAAGGTTAATSTTGGACAATATCTGATGATCGACTCTTTTAAATGAAACCAGAGAGCGTTGACAGAGAGGAGAAGGTAGAAATGACTCAGCCTGTAACTGAAAATATAGATGGAGGACAACAGAGCTGCTTCATGGAAGAAGAACCTCAGCTTAATCTGTTAGCTTTAGCGTTAGCCCCGACACTATCACCATATGTATGTATTAGCTCAGCGCTACACATTCTCCTCTCGTCATTGAGGTCCTCCATCCACATGACAGAGAGGGGAACACAAAAATGACTCAGCCTGCAATTGAAAATATGGACGGAGGATCTCAGTTTAGCTTGTTTGTCACGCTAGAGTTGAGCTAATACATATAAGGCAATATAGCGTGAGGGCTAGCGTGAAGGCTAACAGGCTAAGCTGGGGTTCTTCTTCCATGAAGCAGCTCTGTTGTCCTCCATCCATATTTTCAGTTACAGGCTGAGTCATTTCTACCTTCTCCTCTCTGTCAACGCTCTCTGGTTTCATTTAAAAGAGTCGATCATCAGATATTGTCCAAGATTAACCTTCAGGGTGGATATAGCTCGCTCACATCGAGGACCTATCCACGTCATCATTTACCCAGTATGCTTTGTGTGTAAACAAAATGGCTCCATCTGTGTTAAAATATATTTTTAAAAATTTACAAAACTAAACAGCCTACAGTATTTTTACAGTCTTTATTTTATAGTTAAAATYTATGTTTATCAAATAAAGTTTAATGTCACAACTAATCAGGGATCCCTTTAAAGACTTTTTTTAAATATGGTCTTAATAACAGAAGAGCACAATAAGCAGAAACAAGAAGGAGGTAGAACAAGTACTYGTTCTCTCTCACTTCGGGGCAGGATGAATGTTGAAGATGATCTGWGGTCGAGGCGGCGCCCACTCCAGGTTGCCTCTGACTCGAATCCTCAACTTGTAGATGTCTGCGTGTTCCCCGTCATCAGGAGAGATCGGCAGAGAGTCGGGAATGGGAAGCAGCTGAAAGGCAATGACAAGGTTAGCACCCGATTTTCTGTGTGCGATGTGAGTGCACTTTGAGTGTTGTGGGTTTCAGTGAGACGGCATACCTTCTGAGGAGCGTCTTGTTCTGGGACCAGCCAGTCGAGCTCTGAAGCTGCAGGAAGCTGCATGCCTTCAAACTGCCTGAGTAAACCCATGGCTACTGACTCGGCAGAGTTAGACTGCAGGAAGGAGGGAGAGCTGAAAAACAAACAAAAGAACAAAAAAATGCACACAACATAAGTATATACTTTACAAGCATCAAGAGGTAGAACTTCATTATCTACTTATGGACCGAAACAAAACAAAATCCCCAATCTGGTTCATAAAACAAAACATTTTCCAGGCACATAGTTCAACTCTAAACCTCAATCAAGTAACTATGTTACCTTCAGTTGTTATGATAATGTTGTATCAAAAATAAAWCTGACTTTGTATCCAAGGGCCTTGAAATTGGCCTCTGTCTCTTTAAGAACCTCCTACCATTTCTGACACTCCCGCTTCAGCACGTCTTCACAACAATGCCTCGGGGGAGGGGTGCTCTGTGGGGCGGGAGCTCGGCTGCAGACTGAGCTCTAGGGAGGAGCTATGCACAAATAGGCGGAGCTTTGTACCCTTAAGCGTTAAGGCYGCTCCACAGGAGATTCAGGGATTTCTCAAACACYCATGAACGAGTCAAAGCAACACTCTGGYTGTGTTTCTGATWAAGGAATGACATTCTAACATGATAWAAAGCTCYATTAAAGTCAATTTTGCATAATAACCCCCTCTAAAAATACAGAAGCTCAACAAAGTTCTTGATAAAACYATTGCTTATTGTTTAAGTCTAAGTTTTATATCAATCATGAGAGATATTATGATATCTTAAGATTAAGATACAGGATTAAGGTGAGCAGCAACAGTTACTTACATGGACTCTGAGCTGAGAAAGGATCGGCCACTGGAGCTCACGCTGCGCTTTATATCTGCATCTACAGAGAGTGGCACAGGAGAYATGTGAACACATGGGATAGGAGCAGAAAATACTACCAAACATTAAAGAATACTTGCTATTTTCACAACTGAGAGGATCATGCAGAAGACTAGAGGACAATGTTACTTTAGTTTCCCTCCACCTATGCAAGTAGCATGCAACTGAAGCTTCGCCGTGTCATAAAGGACATCCGAAGCAGAACAAGTTTGGCAGAACACCTGCAGCTGTTCTCCATCACTCAACTTTKCTGTTTGTTCCATTCAGATCTGTTCAGTTACGACACATTTTCTGGGCACAATTTAACCGTAGACGTAGCTTTCATCATCTTGATCCAAACAAAACGAACGTGATTCGACTGAACTACAGTGTGAATTTGAGTTTGGGTTGATTGTTGAGYCAGATTGTTGATTGCATTGTGACAGAACAAGAAAAAAAGCTTTTTAATCAATGACAGAGGAGTGAGGTGCAATTATAGCACAGTTAGAAAGTTAATAGGTTTAGATATTAGCCTTTCTTGAGAAATAGTATCATCTGGGCTCATTTGTTCTAATTATTTGCAGTAAAAATACACATAAGCTGCTACCAAGTCTATAAAACACATCTGTCTGGGACAGGGTTTACTGGGAACCACAAAAAGGAACTAAAAAAAGGTGGAAGGACGTGTTCAGGCCAACAATCACGCCTCGTTCCCACTGAATTTCAAACAATAACGAGTTGGGTGGGTAATGATTGTAACTGATGAAGTTGCAACATGGTGGCAGTTATCTCACTGATCTCCCTCCCCTTGGGTCTCGTTAAACCCGACAGGTCCGGGCACGTCGGTCTCCCTGCATCACCGAGCACCGACGCAAACAACCAAACACACGGTTCATCTCAGGGGAGGAAGCAGCTTGCTCTCCTCCAAACTGAACTGGATACTGGTGCCTTTGTTACGACTGTATCGCTTTGTTTGAATGATAAAGCTACATGCGTAACAACCACTTCAGCTCATTACAGGTAACGAAACTGACAGGAATTTAGAAGACAAATTGTTTTCACATTTTGATACTGAAAAAGGCTGCTGTTTAGTCTGATGTACATCGGGTAAAATAAGTATTGAACACGTCAACATTTTTCTCAGTAAATATATTACTAGAGGTGCTAATGACATGAAATTTTCACCAGATGTCGGTAACAACCCAAGTGATCCATACATACAAAGAAATTAAACCATAAATATCCAGAAATGAAGTTATTTGTAATAATGTGGAATGGCACAGGGAAAAAGTATTGAACACATGAAGGGAGGTGTAAAAAGGCATGGAAAGCCAAGACACCAGCTGAACTCTCTCAGTAATTAGAAAGCAAGCCTGCCCCTTGTCAGTGCAAATTAATATCAGCTGGTTCAGTCCCAAATGATGGCCAGGTATCACACAAGAACCATCTGATGATGGGTAAAAGTAAAGAGCTCTCTCAAGACCTTCACAACCTTATTGTTGCAAAGCATAATGATGGCATCGGTTACAGAAGAATGTCTAAACTTCTGAAGGTTCCAGTGAGCACTGTTGGGGCCATAATTCAGAAGTGGAAAGAACATTATTTCACCATAAACCGACCACGACCAGGTGCTCCTCACAAGGTTTCTGACAGAGGAGTGAAAAGAATTATCAGAAGAGTTGTCCAAGAGCCAAGGACCACTTGTGGAGAGCTTCAGAAASACCTGGAATTAGCAGGTACGTTTGTTTCAAAGAAAACAATAAGTAATGCACTGAACCACCATGGCCTGTATGCACGCTCACCACGCAAGACTCCACTGCTGAAGAAACAGCATGTTGAAGCTCCTTTAAAGTTTGCTGCACAACATTTAAACAAGCCTGTGTAATAATGGGAGAATACAGTCTGGTCAGATGAGACCAACATTGAACTGTTTGGATGCCAGAATACACATCATGTTTGGAGGTCAAATGGCACTGCACATCAGCCCAAAAACACCATACCAACAGTGAAGTTTGGAGGTGGGAACATCATGGTGTGGGGCTGTTTTTCAGCATATGGTACTGGCAAACTTCAAATAATTGAAGGAAGGATGAGTGGAAAAATGTACAGAGACATTATTGATAAAAATCTGCTTCCATCTACCAGGATGATGAAGTTGAAACGTGGCTGGACATTTCAGCAAGACAATGAGCCCAAACACAAAGCCAAGGAAACTCTCAGTTGGTTTCAGAGAAAGAAACTAAAGCTGCTGGAATGGCCCAGCCAATCACCAGACCTGAATCCAACAGAAAATCTATGGAAAYAACTAAAGATCAGAGTTCATAGAAGAGGTCCACGAAACCTTCAAGATTTGAAGACTATTTGTGTGGAAGAATGGGCCAAAATCACACCTGAGCAATGCATGCCACTAGTTTCTCCATACAGGAGGCGTCTTGAAGCTGTCATTGACAACAAAGGCTTTTGTACAAASTATTAGATAAATTTCAGTAAGTGTGTTCAATACTTTTTCCCTGTGCCATTCCACATTATTACAAATAACTTCATTTCTGGACATTTATGGTTTGATTTCTTTGTATGTATGGATCACTTGGGTTGTTACCAACATCTGGTGAAAATTTCATGTCATTGGCACCTCTAGTAATATATTTACTGAGAAAAATGGTGACATGTTCAATACTTATTTTACCCGCTGCGTTTTACACACTCTCTCAATTTACTGTTGCTTATTTAGCTACAAATTTAAAGCCAAATCCCCTAATCTCGCTTCGTATTTCTACTGACCATCGTGGCAAAAATACCCAACTTTTACCTCCATTTCCTGACCCAAAAATCACAAAACCTGATTTAATCAAACCTAACTATGATTTTAAGGCTGGTCTTCATGTGTTCTGCAAGACTTAACGTGAGTCCAAAAAAAACAAAGCTGTAAACTTCACCTAACCAGTTATATTTTAACCAGCGAATAGAGAGATTAAAGGCTGCATTTTTCCATTTGAAGCAGAGGCACCCAGTGAAGTGTTTGTGTGAAGCTGTGGAGCCTCGCCCACGAGCTCAGCCGGCAGGTACCTGAGAAGAGCGAGGCGAGCGACAAGGAGAGGCCGCTCTGAGACACCGCCAGCAGGGACGGACCCTCACAGCCATCTGAGAGACAGAAACCGTCACCACACACACATTTCAACACGTCAGTCTCACAGGCATGCACCGCTGCACTGAGGTTAAAACAAACCACAATTTATGGAAGTCAGAAATACAGCAGTTTTAATAAGAACAAATCACAGTTCTGAGAATTTTTTTTTTTACAGGCAAAGATGAAAACGTTGCACAAAACAACCCCTATATATGAAAACTGAAACCCAAGTGCTGACGTAAATCATGTTCAGAAACCTTTAATGACCGAACACAAATTTTTTTTAAAGACGTACAACCACATAAATCCTTAATGCGCTCGTTACATTTTACAGCCAAACTCAGCAGACTAGCTGTCTGTGAACAGAGCCCTCGGACCTTCAAGTTTACTGGTTATGACTAAGAAGGAGCTCCAGGTGGTGAGAAGCTGTTGTGGTTATGAGGTTAAGATTTATGATTCAAACAAATAAAAATAAATAAATCATTCACACAGAGAATTAAGGAAAACTGTGAAAGGCTTCCTAGATTTTTTCTGATGAAACTTGAAGTAAAAATGTTAAAAGCTTTAAATGTTAAGATCTTTAAAAGCCCATAGAGGCGAATGTTTAGCTTAAAGGGGACATATCATGCATTTAAATCTTTCTTTTTCACATTTAAATCGTTCAGTTGGGGTCTATAGAAAGTGTAACTGCAATGCTTTGGTCTGAACTCCTCCTTACTGTAACTCCTCAAGCCCCTCTTTCACCCCTTTTTTGAGATGCATCTCAGATCAACTCGTTTTGAAGCTGTCTCTTTAAATCCAAACAAGGAGCTTCACCCCCCCAGGTTCCAGAGCGGCCAATTCTAGTTTGATAGAGGAGTTTATGACTACATATCAGTGCAGATTTAGCATGATAAGTCCCCTTTAAGTAGCTTATTGAACTGAAAATCCAAGAAAATATTAATTTTAGAGTACCGTCTGGTCAGAGTGATAAGTGGGTTTAAATGCAAATCACTAAACCACAATTCCTTTTTTTGATATTTAAAAACAAAATAAAATTTTAAATAAATCTGCACATTGTTGTTAACCACATCAGTCCRTCTCTGTACCTTGTAGCTCGCACTCCTCCACCTCCTCAGCTGAGCCCGAGTCAGACAGGCCCTGGTACGAGTCCTGAGAGCTCCTCCTGGACCCTCCGCTGTCGGTGGAGTGGAAATCTGCACAGAAAAAAAAAGAGATCATCCAGTAGACACAAACTGGAAAGAAAAGATGTTTAAACACGATTTGTAATGTACCTCCATAAACTGAAACTTTATTGTGAAAATAAACCAAATCAAAAGCAGATATACTCATTATCCATGAATCAGTGATTATTAGTGCTGGGCACGTTACCGTGTTAGTATTGTGCTAACACAGATGCTTAAAGGGGCAATATTATGTAAAATCAACTTTTTTGAATTTTATATCTTGTTATAATGTTATACTCTCATAAAAATCATGCCCAAAGCCTTTCTTTGACTCATTCATGCATGTTTGAGAAATCCTGCAGCATTTTTAGGAAGRCATGCTGAGGAGCAAAACGACAGGTGGGGACCAGAAACGCCCCTGGGACGTGTATTTAAGCTGAACTTCCTCATCACGGAGCACACCTCCCCTCCCCCCATCCCACACACCCCGCCCATGACTCCTGCAGGCTCTCGGCAGTAACAAAGCAAAGTGAAAGTGAAACGTAACTGTCTGTTGCTCTCAACACTACTTCTCACTCAGTGAAGATCTTTTCATATTCAACATACATTTGAGGAAATGTATTTTCAGATGCCAAGTAAACTGCATCGTAGCGAGTGTACGCAACCCCGCACCCTCCCCCCCCCCACCGCGCACTGAAATGGGACAGGACAGAAGCGAAGGTGGTTCTTAAGGAGACAGAGGCCAATTTCAAAGCGTTTAGAAGAGGAAGTGATGAGAAGATGAGTTTATTTTCTATTTAAACATAAAAACTGCATTTTAATAACAGCTAAAGTGGCATAGATACTTTATTATGGTATAGTATTTAAATATATGCCTGAGAAACACACAATATTGGCCCTTTAACAGCAACAATTATTTTAATGGGCGATGATGCAGTTTTTTATTCATTTATTTTTTTTGTTTTTTGTTTTTAAGTCTGTTTCTCACTGGCAATGAACATAAATGGYCAAACCCAGTGGTCACCAGGTTGTGGGTGTCTTGGTCACTATTGGCTTTAGATGGCCATCATGGTGCATCTCAACCAATTAGAGACTTTGTTGTTGGGTTGTTGCCTGGCAGCACTCGCATGAACTTATCAGAAAAWGAGCTGTAAGTACAGAAACATGCTGGAACGTGCCGGACTTTTCCATGAGCATTTTTTTTATTTAAAACTCTTCCCGATGGCGCCCTGGATCAAAGTTAGAGGGGCTTCTGCAGACGAAGCTGGATGCAGTCTGTCACAGGCTGGCTTTGTCTTTTTTTTTTAAGGTTTTGATAATACAATGCACATTTTTTTAAACAATACCTTAATAATGCTCTAAACATCTTGAAGTCCTAATTTAATTTTGTGCATATTAATCATGAATAATTACAAAAATTATTTGAGATTAATGGCAATTAAAAATATGAAACCATACCCAGCACTGGTAATTAAGAGACAAAAATGTCCGGATGAGCACACATGCTGTAAATTAACGCTCACTGTGCTGGGAGGAGGTGCAAGGAGGCAGTCGGCTGCGGCGGATCTGCTGCCTCCGCAGGCGGATCTTCTGCTTGAGCTGCTGAATCTCAGAGTCGCTGTCCCCCTCCTCCTCGCCCTCCACCTCCTGACACTGCAAGTTGTACTTCATCAGCTCGATGGCGGCGATCAGGGACTCTGAGATGCTGAAGTGGGCGTTCTCCTGCAGAGCAGAGAAATCATTAATAACGATTCATTTTCAGGATAATTATTCGAMCTTTACATAAAACTGGCACTTGGTAGCGATCAAATGCCCCACCTTTTCGAGGTCAGCGCAGCTGCCGAAGTCCTGCTCTGACAGGTAGCTGATGAGGCTCTGCCCCTTTGAAGGCTTCCTGAACATCCCATCAGGGGCGCCGCTGTGCTGGGACCCATCTAAAGCCATGAAAACACACACAGCATCCGACAAACACATGAAACAGACCATTGTTTGGCTTTTGAACACAGGTGTTGCCCTGTTTAGCTTTCCCTATGCCCTCTTTTTGACAAAGCTGTCGGTGCCATTCATGCTCGAACCAACCCTGCTTATTGATCAGTAAACTTACGGGACTCCATGTAAAGAGAACTGGGAGTGCTGGAATCACTGTGCTGAGGTGAGAAAGGACTATAGTCCATGCTGCTGTCTTCATTTGCCGATTCTGTGAAACAAAAACATTAGATGCAAAAAGATTTTTTTTAAAAACACTAAAACTGCAGCCTAACCAAACTTGGCGCCCAACATTTCAACCTGARTGGAAACTGCTTAAAAAGGGATGAGTTTAACACTAATCTTTAAGCCAACATCTATAGAAATTGTTTATTTTTTCCACATGCAAACACAAAAATAGCATTGCTAAGATTTAGCCATATTACTGTCTCTACACTGAGAGTGCAACATCTTTATTACCTGCTGTACATGCAAAACAAATATGACATGGGCACTTTAATGGTCCATGATACTGTCAATGAAATGCTCTGACAGGAAATGAAAAAAAAGTGTGTGTGAGGGAATAAAAAGGCATAAATACTTGACCCACTTGAAATGTTGAAATATGCAATCCAAATTAAAATATATATATTAGGTATCAAATGGTGAGCACAACACAAGACTGGAAACAAGAAGGATAAYGTTCCTCGTCATGCAGAGAAAAATGAAAACATGAGGGCGGGGTGGGGGGGGATCAAGTGATGGGAGTACAGTGGAACTGCACTGCCAACCTGCAACCGGATCCTCTATTATTATGGTGATTTTTCTGTGGCCCCCTCCTTCGCACAAAGAGTCAACAAGAGAAGGGAGAGACAGAGAAGGAGGAGAGTTTAACTCAAGCTATAAGGACTCCAATTTGAGCAGAAAGAGAAAACGTTAAGCTGGAAAAGRTTTCAACCATCAGACTAGAACCAATTTACAGTTATTAGTGAGCAGAAAATACGTAAAACAGCTCTGAGGAAGAAGTGCAGCTTTAAATGAAACGTTTCATCCCTTCAAGGATTATTAGTTTCTGAACACTTTAATCTGTCCGTAGATTAGCTTTTAGAGCATATTAATGATTTAAAACAAGGCCCTCTCTTCCATCTTCCTTAGTCAAATCAAAAACATTTGGACKACAATTTTTAAGGTTAACTTTCAGGAACATTAGTATTTTTATCTTAAACTGGACAACGTTAAGTAAAAGCAAGTGTGTTGTCTTGTTCTTTCCAGAAAGGGTTAAAAACTGTTGAAATTATTCTCCAGAAACTCTCCCATCTTTAGGTTGCCTTCAGGCCCAGGCCTCCCTTGCAAAACCGACCTCTGATCTCTCTGGTGTTAAATGATAGTTAAATAACAATAACAACAACAACAACAATAATAATAATAATAATAATCCTACTCACCATCCCTGAGTTTCTGATTGAGCCCCGTGTCTGAAAACGAGCGGGTGTGCCCTCGAGCCCCCCTGCCAGGTCCCCGTTGACCCTCTGAAAAAGACGATCGCCTCGGTTGCGTCGGAGCCTTGGCGCTCGGCTGCAGGCACCGCTCCCTGGTCTCGTCCTGCTCGCTGCTGTGGGCGGAGCTTCGGGAGCCGCGGCGATTGCGCTGCCCGAGGTTGCCGATAGCCAGATACTCGGGGCCGTCGTCGGAGTCGCCGTCGCAGGAGTCAGCGGCCTCGGGCTGAAGGGACGAGGGCGAGGAAGACTCCYGCAGGGAGACGGACGCCGACCAAGCAGAGTTGGTCAGACCTGGCTCGATCTCCCCCGACCTGGACATGAACACCCAGGGGGCGTCATGGCTGCTGGCTGGAGAGGTAGTGTCTGCAACACAACGCACACAAAAAAGAGATATTTATTTTTGTTTTTTTGTTTACCCAAACAAAGGATGTTAGCATCAAGGTGGTTTAACTAAAACATCAAACTAACCTGAAATGAAAATGAAAAAATGATCCAATTATTGCTGCAGAAAACAAGTCCAAACTAGTTTAGTCAACTTGTGACCAGGACTCTGAGTTTTCTCCGAACAACGAACCTTGTCCACAAACAATCATGTCGCTGTGTGGTGAAGTCACTCAGTCAGTCGATTCACACACAAACAGACACGTCCTCACAGCAACGAGACGATATTCTCCCCCTCCTCCTCTATCATTTCAAACAAGAGAACTGCAACCGCCTTGTTCTCCAGAAAGTCAGCCTGAATCTTGTCACCACATCACAGAAAATTATTCATTTCATTGATTGTGTTGAAATTTGGGGTAAGGCATGTAAAACAGTTACTAATTCTATTTTTATTTTTGCAAAAAAGAGCTATAAGAATTGTGGTGGAAGTATTATATAACATCCCTAACTGCTAAGTTACCTAGACAGGTTCTGCTCTGTATATCTCTTTGTTAACTGCCACATTTATATAATCTGACTTATGATTATAAGACGCAGGACTTATGTCTGTAACCTTGCTCGTATTCTGAAGCGCTCAGTACTGGTTGTCGTTTTGTCATTGGTTCTCTGTTAACATTTGTCATCCTGTGACTGGCTGCCTACGAACTCCACCGGATGTTTATAATTGTCTATATAGAGTATATCTTTCTCCTAGAGTATAATATATTTACCATCCATCTATCCATCCATCCATCCATCCATCCATCCATCC